TCATTTGAGTTTAGATAAATATGTTCTTAGCATTGTTAGATTAGTCTCTTCAAATTGCACCTTCTTAACTATAAATTTACTTGAAATAAAATTAAGGTGCTTTTAACAATTATTAGAAATATTATGTAAAGGAATTGCATACATATAAGAAATGAATTAAAATATATATAAATGAATTATTGGACGGATATAATTAAATTATGATTCCATTTTGAGTAGCTAATAATTTAACCGTATTTATCTAATAATTTATTATGTCATGTAATCATTTTTATTGTATTTGCGTGGAATATCCATTCATTATACACAATAAGTACACACCAAAAAATAAGTTACCTTAATATAAAAATTCCAAGTTTTTAGATGAATCATTTTACTATGAAACAAACATAATAAACTATTTTAATTTATATTGACTAAACTGTCGAAATAGTCATGGTGCGTGCTAGAAGATTTGCTGCGATGGACTAACAAACTATTGTATTCGCGTTGCATGAGAATTCAACACACACTCAAATGAAAGAAAACAATCAGTAGATACACCATAAGATTTTACGTGAAAAACTCGTAAAGAGAAAAACCACGGGGTCTGGCAAGGTTGAAGAGATTTATTATAACTAAAGATTAGAAATTCAGTCTCTTGTCCCACGGGAGGGAAAGTGTCACACAATCTTCAGAGCTACTAAGCAAGTGTGCGAATGAACTTATTATGAGAAGACAACAGTGGCCGATAGTGATCGGTGGCAGTTGGCCTGTGGTGATCAGCGACGAGCTTTGACTACACTTTTGCTCAATTTATATTAATATTTAGCATTTTTGTTGAATATATATTTTATTTAAAACTCTCCTGACCATTGCTTATTCGGACATATTTCGTTGGACACGTGTTCATGTATTTTCATATACATAAAACAATAAACATTCACTGCAATATTTCTCCAAACAAAGTTTATATAAAAATAAAAAATTAATAAAATTAATAAAAAAATATTAAAAAAAAACACGGTTTATATATAAGACCTTAGCCTTCTATGAAAAAAATAATAATATTTTGATTGTTGACTATTTTAGGGCTCTCTTATACATGCTGATTCATTAAATGTGAATTTAAATATTTTTAAGTGATTGCTTGTTCTAAAATATGTTTTAAAAAGTAATGAATTTTATCAAATTCATCATTTAATTCAATAAAATTAGATATTAACAACTACTTCAGATATCATAAAATTTCTCATTATTATTTTTTAAAAGCATATTTTATAAATATAATTAATCACATTAGCCTTTTTTTAATATTAAAAAAATTATTAATATATCCCTTTATATTATATATCAAAGGAGAGATAGAGAAGATTCACTTTAATATAAGAGATAATGCACAATACTTTTTTTAATCTTAAGAATTGCCATATACTGTAAAGATATTATGTGACAGTTTAGGGTCTGTTGGGGTAGTTGCAGTTATTTGAAGAAGCAGCTTTGAAGCTGTTGAAGATGAAGTTGTTCAAAAAACTGCAGTAGCTATTAAAATATTTATTTATTTTTGAAAAAGTCTGACAGTAGTTTTCTAGCAGCCACTGCAGGTAGCCAAGTCTGGTGGGAAAATGCTTCTTTCAGCTACAATATTTTGAGAACAAAGACAAAACACAATTTTATCAAATAAAAAGTACTGTGGTGCAATACCGCCACCCCAAACGTACCCTTTTAAACTGCAACTTTATGCTTTTTATAATTTTTCATTGGAAAACAACCACGGTGTAATTAGAGCAATTTCTTAACCACCGTTGTCATTTTTGCGATAGTCTAAACCACCATCTAAACCTATATTAACCGTTGCAAAAAAACTCATTATTGTTGAAATAACAATTGAGTCGAGCAGAAGAGTAAGCAGTCGATACATGACATCAAAATTACAAGTGAAGTTATGAACACCATCCCTAATCAAACTAGCCTAGAGCTTCATATATGATATTTTTATAAATGGATTTGCAAAATAAGAAAAGTTGCATTTGACATGTCATTCATAAAGTTGCATTTAGCTCTTTGCTTGGTAACAAATTCTCTTCCTTTAAATTATTAGTAACAACTAAACAAAAGTCCAATGAAAGAGTATTCAATGCTTGATGCACACAATACAAGCTTCAGGAATGAGAGAAGTTAATAAGGGGTTTCCAGTTTAGTTTAGACCTACCTAATTTCATTTAGAGTACATTCTAAGAATGTTGATGATTCCTTTGGAAGGAAATAATAGGAGACCAATTACGTTAGAATACATTGCGTCTGAACTAACAGTAAAGCAAATAATAATATGCCCAGTTCAAGTTTGATAAATATTTTATTTGATTTATTTTAGAACTTGCTATAATTTAATTGGACTTATGCTTGCCAAAATTAATCAATATCTTGAGAGATGAAATCACACATTATCTCATATTTGCTATGATTTAAGTAATTGTTGTGACATGTCTCGCATCAATATATAAGTTGCTTGGTTCAAAACTTGAAATATCGTTTACATAAAAATACGGGAATTTTCGCTAATTTTCTCTTATTGATTCAAGCTCACCTATCAAAATGGTTGAATCAAGCTCATCTGTTGTATGTCCAAAAAATACTGATAGTAGAAAAAATCAATCGGTTGGCCACCCCAGTCGACTGACTAGCCATCTCGTCGGGTAAATCCAACAATGAAAATATGTCATTAGATTATGAAAAAGTGTCAGACATACGAAAGATGTAGATAAAATCAGTAAAACCCATGAGTATAATGATTTTAACTCCAATGAGCATAATGAATTGTAACTCTCAGAGATTATGATGTAATTATTCAAATCCCTCAGTGATCTATAAATAGAAGAATTTTTTCATGTAATAAGAATGAAGCGATTTGGACTCTTCAACTACTTAGACATTACTCTCCACTTCTTTTGTAACCAGATCTTTTAATGTATAAAAGGAGTCAGAGAGCCCGAGAAACACCCCCACATTGCCTCATTGTGGGCAATCAATGTCACTCTTTCCTCTCTCTCTCTCTCTCTCTCTCTCTCTCTCCCTTGGCCTCATGCTCTATGCCTTGGGCATGACCAAAATGAGAAATTTGGATCCAACACTTATCAAAGTGTGAATCAAGCTCGCCTATCGATCCGATCATTCCTTTGTTCCTCGAAACGATGACCTAGCCTACATGTGCAAAAGCAACTATCATAAGATACCATCATGATGAATGAGAACCAATCATGACTACTAAAGACTTTTTTCAATCCCTTATTAAAGATGTCGTCCGACCCTTGAGACTCGATTCTTTCACCTAGATACTAGAGACGTCACCGTACCATCAATATCCGACATCGGCTCATGATCACAAGTCATTCCTATCGATAGTTATTGTAGGATTTTCAATACAACATTATTTGTTTCCCCATATGTGAGGTGTGTCGTTACACCATGTGAGGAGTGTGTCTTTGCATTGCATGTGGGAAGCGTCGTTGCACCGTGTGTCTTTGCACCGTATTGAGGCTGCATCGTTGCACCATAATCAGATGATGCGTCGTTGCACCATATTGGGAGTACATCTTGGAACCATAGGCTTCATCAACTACAGTGAGCAAGGGCCGACCAACGGCGGTCGATTGCGATGGTTGGTGACTGTGGAAACCAAAAGTTATTGCAATGTCTTTGAATTCAAAACGACTCGCAGATTCCACTTCTTATCCTCCCTGTCCAAGTCTAACCTCGCTTCCCTTTCATGCACGGAGTACATCTCTATTTATAGATTTTGGAAGTGACATCCCCGTAAATAAGGCATGAATCCATATCACTCTATTTGATGGTGTTTTATAGACATTTAAGTGTCTTAGTGAGGTCGGAATTAATTGAGCTTCAGCTCGTTGGATTCGACTCATCAAGACACTCGATTTGACTATAAACACGTCAAATTTAGAGTCGGTTTGATCCTTCAATTAACCACCTATAACTTCTTAGTGTGGTTTAATAACTTGATACAAGATTGATTTGACTTAGTTTGATCAATTTCGATATTGTCGAGTTCATCAAGTTAAGCCAAACAGTAGATTATAAGCTTGTTGAAATAGAGTTTGAACCCAATTATCCCCAAAAATATCTCGAGTCATGTCAAGTCTCTCGAGATCTGTGCCCAATGATAACATTTGTTGATGACCTATCAATTTATAATCTTTATCCCAAAAACTTGGAATATTAACTAATGACCATAACAATGATGATGGATTACTATCGCAAAAGGAAACATCTTAATACCACTTCTCACTAAACTTCATAGTCAACTCATCATCCTTAATTCATATGCACCAACTTCAAATTTATGCATTCTGAATTTTATTTTGATGATTTTGGTGATTGTAGTTTTCCGCATAGATTCATATTTTATCTTAGCAGGTTTTAAATCAATAATGAAAACTGAATTATTTTTCTTATTCAATTAATGATTAAATGAAACTAGACAAATCATAATGACTTCAACCAAAGTCAAATATCTTTTTTTAAGAAAAACAGAAGAACTTTATGTCAAAATATTCTAATGTAACTTCTATTAAGCTTAAAAAAAAATCTTTGTATTTATTATGAGATTAGTGTAATCAAAATCCAAATTTTATTAATCAATACAACTAAACCTAGCATGCTAGTGATTGTTTAGATCACGTTTTGCTCGCTTATCTGAAAAAACGGTTCTATTCTTACACTAAATGCAGACCTCGAGTCGAACCTGCAATCTACCCCGGGCCTCGTTCCAGGATAAGCTAGTTATCCTCGAATGCACAAACTCCCTCAAACCCACCCCTAATTATCCATCCCCTCTTGTCGGTGGAGTTTTCTAAGTAATAATTCCATATCTCCCCTCTTCTATATAACATAAAGTAATCATCTTCGACCTCACACAAATTAACAGAGCAACAGAGCTAATGCTGAAGCAGGGAAAGCTCAACACCACCGCGCTTCTGTCCCATCTCCTCCTCTCCCCGCTCTTCTGTCCCATCTCCTCCTCTCCCTTCTTCTAATGGCCCTCACCTCCTTCCTCTCCTCCGCCGACGCCGGCGGCCAAGACCACCACCACCACCGCAAACCAAAAAAGAAACACCCGCCGCCGCCCTCACCCCTCACCCTCTCATGGGACCACCTCAGAACACTTCTCAACTGCAAGACCAACACCGGTTCCACCCAAGTCCACGACCCAGCTTCCTCCTCCGCCGCCGCCGCTCCGCCCTCCTTCTCCACCGGAAAACACCTGAAGCTCCGATTGCCGTTCGTTCCGTCGATCTGTGCGCTGGGTGATGTGGTCCACGGGAGCATCCGCGTGGTCCACCGGTCCGATATCGATCAGTCAAACTCTTCCGGCGGGGAAAGTGGGCCCCTCTCCCGGTCCTCCGCCGCAGGCGAGTTAGACTCGCCCGGGGGCCCCCGCCGGCAGCCGCCCGCGGCGTCGGCGGCTGCGAAGGGTGGGTCTCAATTAATGCGGCTCTCCGGATGCTACGAGTGCCGTGCCGTTGACGCAGAGCCGGTTTCCAGGTTTGTACGTTAGTTGATTTCCAGGCTTAATTGTTTAATTAATCGTGTTTAAGGGATAATTACATATGGAGCATTCAAAATATTAATATTTATAAATTAATCATTTAGGTTATTTTTCTGAACTTTGTATTTATGCCTGTCGCGATGAAATTAGTATTAATCAGGTTTGTATGTTGTGTTCAAAATATTAATCGTTGTCGCGATGAATATTCAAAAATTTAGGTTATATGAATTGAGATTTTATGATGAATTTTGATATTTGAGCGAGAATTTGAAAATTGACTGAGAGAGGGTGGTTGATTTGTAAATTGAAATTTTTGGGTGATTTGCATGTAATTGCCGAAAAACTATTATATCCGGACTCCGGACGTAGAGAGATATGTTCGCAGTCCAATGAATTACCTTCACGTGTAGCTGATAGAAAAAAAAATTCATTTTCTTGTGATCTGGTCTGATAACACAGGAAAATATTCCTCTCGTGTTATTCTGTGTTATTCAAGTGTTATTATGGTACTATTAATGTATTATTGTGTTATTAGAATAACAGGAATATTCTCAGAACACAATAATACATGAATAACACTACAATAACACCTGAATAATAAGGAAGAACACGGAAGAATATTTCCTATGCTAAAACAAATTTTTTTTTATTTTTCTGTCATCTCCACGTAGTATAATTTTATTGGACTCCAGATATATCCCAGACATAATATCTGTTTGTAATTGACTAGTATAAGATTGATAAGTATTTAAAATTAAATTAATTAAAAAAAGTATGAATATTATTCGTTATTTTTATTTAAGTATGTATTAAATATGAGCATTTCTTATTTATTGAAAACTATATGATAAATATCTTGATATTAAATGCGTGGAAACGTAATTGAAGGAGGTATCCGAGGCCGAGGACATTATGCGCGTGCCCGCAGTGCGGGGAGGTCTTCAACAAGACCGATAGCTTGGAGCTCCATCAAGCCATTCGTCATGCCGGTAACATTATAATTTTCTGTTTTCTTTTTTTTTTATATTTTTTTTTTACACATCAAATTTTTGTTAAAATAAATTTTCAAAATTAATAATTTATTGACAAATTTGCATACATGCCACATAATTTCAATGTATTTACATATTTAACACTTCAAATTTGATAATCTATTTATAATATTTTAGTATTATAAGTTACTTTTACAAAGTTACTAATATCATTATTTTTTTATGGGATGTTAAAGATTTGTGTGTTACACATGTAAATATGAAATTTTACATGTTAAATAAACATGCATATACATAAGAATTTTTTGATTTGTATATATTGCCTCTAATTTATTTTGAAATAAATACAATTTATCTAAAATTAATCAAATTTTGCATCCATTTATCTAAAATATATTCAATAAATTGAAGACCACTTTATTACTCTAAAGAAGTGACATAAAGTTATTTTTATTACTACTGTATTAGACCAAGGTCTGTTTGGGCGGTGCGGCGGCAGTGCGGCACCACACCGTAGGTTTGTGTGTTTCGATAAACTACATTTTGATACATTTTTGAAATTTGTGTTTTATCATCGATCCTCACCAGGTGTAGTGGCAGTTTTCTAGCTACGGTCTGATTTTTTCAAAAAAAAAAAAAATTATGATAATCTTCGCAACTTTTTGAACAACAGATTAATTTAAGCAGCTACTTTTTAATAAGTTACGGTTGCTACAAACAGACATAGTAGACATATAAATTTAATTCAAATAACATGACTGCTTAGTTCTAACCATTCTCATATATTATAGCCATCTAACTATTTTACCAACCAACATTTTGTATCACCACATTATTTCAAAAAACCTAATTTTACATTTAAAATTCATCAATGGTTTGTATATGGCCACCAAACAGTTACTACCTATCCTTATTAAATAGAAGCATTTACATACATACCATTCAGTTCCTATGTATTTACATATCTAACATCTAAATTTTACTTTTTTTTATTTTTATATCACTCAAATCTTTAATGTCACATAAAAATATTACCATTTAAATTTTTTAAAAGTGAAATTTACTATTTCATATATACATAAGGTGGCATGTATATGCAAGTTAATGTTTGAGTGTTAGATATATAAATGGATAAGAACTAAGAAATATGTATGTAAAATTTAAATCACTTTAAACAAGTGTTGTCAAAATGACTCGTTGACAAGCTCGTGTTCGATTCATTCTTTAAGTTAACGAGTCAAACACAACCACTTTTTTTTATGCTCAATATATAAACGAGCTGAACAATAACAAAGATTTGTTTGTTCGTGTTCTGTTTTTTTTTGGCTCGAAATATTACTCATATACATATATGTGTTGTGTACTCAGATCAGTTGGCATTGGGGTTGGCCTGGACTTGTATAATAATCTCATGTCATTTCTTTTAACTCTATATATATATATATATATATTTATTGACGAGGAATATTTTAAAAAAAATTAATTGTCTATAAGGCTACATAGATTTATAATCAATTAAAATTATTAATTAAAAAAATAGAGTAAAAATATATTAAATTATATTTAAATGATATTTAATATAAAAAATAATATTTAAATCTTGCCCCAAACCCTTAACATTTTAGTGCTCCGTGAATAAAGTTGTCAAAACAATTCTTTGTTCATGAACAACTAGTTCGGCAGGGTAACCAAACGAGCCGAACAAGTACACACTTTTTTGTGTTTGAAATATAAAGGAACCGAAAACGAACAGTGATATTTTTTAACGAGTTGAATACGAGCTGAGCATGAGTGTGTTCGACTCATTTACACCCCTACTTTAAACCCATATAATTTTGCAGATTAACTATTTATTACATAGTAAATGAATATTAATAATAAGATTTAAATTTTGCCTTAACATCCTATGATTGCATGAATAAGATTGTCAAAACAGCTTTTTATTCACAAATTACTCGTGTTCGACTCATTGCGTTCGACTTGTTAAGCAAATAATTCTTGCCTAATAATATTTTTTTAATGAATCATATACTTGCCGATCGGCCCTCTCGTTTACAAGCGTTTTTTCTGTCCGGACAACGGAAGAGATGCAGCGGTGACCGGACAGAAAAATTTGACACCTCTATTTATTACAGCTATATTTATTAGACAATAAATCTACCTTTTTATTGATTTTTTATCAAAACTCTTAAATTCGTCGTTTGTCAGTATCCGAGCTAGGTCCGGAGGACTCCGGCCGCCACATAGTAGAAATAATCTTCAAGTCCAGCTGGCAAAAGAACCACCGTACGATCTGCAAGATTGACCGTATACTCAAAGTCCACAATACCCCTCGCACCATCTCCCGCTTCGAAGATTACCGCGCCGCGCACGTCCCCCCCCCTCCCCGCCGCAGCCAGCCGCCGGAATCCCCGTTGCGCCGCCGACGGCAACGAGCTTCTCCGATTCTACTCCGTCTCCATCTCCTGCCACCTCGGAGCCGCCGGCTCCACCTCACTCTGCTTCGCCGGTGGTGGCGCCGCCGTCTGCTGCGGCGTTTGCGACGTCATTCAGCATGGATTCCGGCAGCCGTACCACCCATTTGGAGTCCGAACGACGGCGAGCAGCGGCCAGGCTCATGAGGACTTTGTCGGCGGGGGGGAAAGGGCTATGCTTGTTTGTCGTGTTATTGCGGGCCGTGTTTGGTACGCCGGCGATGGTGATGAAGTCGGCGATCTGGACGGCTACGATTCGGTGGCGGCGGAGGGCGCGAATCTTGAAGAGCTGTTTGTGGCCAATCCGAGGGCTATCCTGCCCTGTTTCGTGGTTATTTACAGGTTTCGTGATTGATGGCTTGGGATTTTGGCTATGGTCATTTATATGATTAGTTTTTGCATAATTTTATATATTAATTTTATTTGAGGGGCATTTACATAATTTTATATATTTACATATCTAATTTCTATATTTTATTTTGGGATAATTATCTATAGGGCATTCAAAATATTTATTTCAATTTGTAAAAATGAAATAAAATATATATATATATATATATATATGAAAATTAAAATCTAAGTAGTAGATGTGTAAATATACAAGAAAATGAGTCTCTTTATGATCCTCGCTAGCCAGGTTCGGTTTCAAAATAAATTTTTTAGCTGCAACTTTTTGAATAAACAGATAAAAGAAATTACGATGTTGCACTGCACTGTCGTTGCAAATGCACATTTACTCATTAGCAACATTGACATTCTAGCTCAGATGTCTTATTATAGAGGGACCGACGTCACATTAACTCAAATAATTTCAAATATTTTAGAAAAATATAGACATTAATAATTCTAAACACTCCCATCCGTATAAGATTGTTAATCTAATTAGGCCCACCCTCAGACCAGAGGGACCAACAATCCCTCCATCATATTCTATAAGCTCCACCCACAGAGCTAAATATATACATTAATATTTTACATAAATTGCGTATGATATTTATTTAAGATATGAAATCATAGTTATTGTTGATATTGACTTATTTTAAGGAAAAAATGTTAAAGCATATTACTTTTTTAAAATTTATATAATTGAAAAAATAGAGCAAGAGAAATTCAAAATAGTAGAAAATTAAGTAAATTATATGTTAAGTATAAGAAGTTGGATCATTTATAATTCATGCACTTTAAGTGTATACTCCAAGAGTTCCCGCATTTCAATACATCTAACTTCTCCACTAATCTCTCTCTCTCTCTCTCTCTCTCTCTCTCTCTCTCTTCAGACATTACTATTATGCCCACTTATGAAAAATTTTTCCTCAAAATTTGCATATTATTCCTATGTTTTCTATCATAGGATCTATTCCAAATTTACTATATTTAAAATTAATTAAAATAGTTAATTATAATTTTTTTATGCCTTATCATGAGTACCCCTTATTTTAATAGCTCACAGTATACTTCGAGGAACTCTTGGTTCAACCATTGCTGATCAGGCGCCCTTGGGAATGCCTCATGTGGATTTGACAATTTAGCATCTCAATTTAAAGCAATAAATGTTTCACAACTAAAGTCAAATGAACAAATATTAAAGTAATTATCATGTGTTTCAATATTCTTTTTGGTCGCTTTGCCTCATTTATGGCCACTAACCGTTTGTTTAAAGAAGGAGTGGCCCATGCATTCTCAATTGATTGGCAAAATTAGAGGATTCATAAGGCTACATAAAACACTTTGATTAGTGAACTCCAAAAAATCCATCATAATTAGAGATGTGATAAATACAACCAACAACAAGGTTAGATCTTATGTAAAGCTTCAAGAGCCCGCCTTGAACTAAAAAATAAAGAAAACTAAATATAATTTCAATTAAATCAACAAAGTAATTAAGAAAGATAGATTTGTAAATCTAACCGCAAAGGCTAATTAAAAAAGAACATAAAAAAAGCTAAGATGTGAGATGCCATAATTATATAATATTCTTGAATGATCATTAGCTATATCAAAATTCATAATATAAGGGAACACATACGAAGCTAATTAAAAAGCATTCATATGCAGATCACTAACTATAATTCTTGGACAGTACATATCATGGAATCTATATCAATCCAAACATAATATCCATACAAATTTTCAATATTCATAGCACCTTGACAAACTCAAGTAGTGCCTTAAGAATATTTTGGGGGAAGACCTTAGCTTTTTTCTGTGAAAGATCCTCGTGAAAGTCTTATCATGAGTACGTCTTACTTTATTAGCTCTCAATATTTCTCAAAGAACCCTTGGTTCAACTATTGCTCAGGCCCCCATGGGAATACCTTAAGTTGATTCAACAATTTAGCAGCTCAATCTAAAACTACAAATGTTTCACAACTAAAAACAAAACAATAAATATTAAAACAATTATCATGTGTTTTAATATTCATATAATCTTTTTGCCTTATTTATGATCACTACCCATTTGTTTCAATCAGGAGTAGCACATACATTCTCAAATGACTGTCAAACTTAGAGTTTACATAAGGCTACAAAATGAAACATGATTAGTAAACTCTAAGAACTCTATCATAATTAGAGATGCCCTAAATACTGACCAAGATAATAGTAAACTGGAAATTATCTATTCTAATATGCATTGCACTTGAAAATATCTATCCCTTCATATTTCCTTAAGCTCAATCCCTCTTACACTTCTATGATGAACTTGAGAGTTTTTTGGAGTACTTTAATTTTTTTTTTGTCAATTTTCTATATTTTATCTTTCATCTTTACTATCTATTGGAACAACCTCAAAAAAATTATTTTTTTCCTTTGTAGTTTTTATGTGTATAATGAGATCGTAGAATCTATATATAAGATGTTGATCAATTAAATGAATAATTTTAAAATACATATATAATATTAATTGTGTTACTTTATTCTCTATCAACCTCCTCGTAGAGTAACATTTGGGAATAATACTCTCTCTCTCACTGTCTCTCTTTCTCTCTCTATCTTTGTGTGTGTTGTGCTGTGTTTTTGAACCTTTCATATGAATTTTCTTAGATGAATAGATGAGGTACCATGCATTAACCATACTTTTGGAATCATTTGTGGGAAATAGTAACTATTACTATCCATAAACATAGTTATGATGGATGAAAATTAACATATTCATAACTCTAAGGCCAATGATCAGACAAACTCTTCATATCCAAACTCTTCAGCAAAATATGTATTACTTATTTTTTTCTCAACATTATTTTCAATGATCTTTATAACAAAATTAAAATTTTGGTTTCCATCTAGATATCTTTCTCACAATAAAACCCATTTGAATTTCATGTATGGTTCCAACCTTTGCATAACACACATGTTATCCACAATCAAAGGGAAAGTTCGTGATAGTAAAGTTGATGAATATTAACACTATGTCCCCCTTAAACCTTCTTAATAACAAGCTTGTCAAATTCAACCTACCAATACTAATTTTCATGATTTTAAACTCTCATAACATGAAAGTTTTATAAAGAAAACTCCAGACTAACAAAATGTGAAAAAGAAAATGAGGTTTAACTCTTCGTACTAGTAAAGAAAAAATTGTTCCTAAGAAGCAGATATGAGTTTTCTAAAGTTGAAATATTACAATTATTTTTCACAGCTATCTTGACATGATGTATGCCTTAAAAAAAGAAATTTATTATTCAAAATTTAAAGTTTGAATTATTATTTTAACAAGGATGAGCATCTAAACCTCGGGTCAACTAACCATACCTTAAGATCTTAGAAGAAGCCTAATGAGAGACAACACTCTTATTTTCATACATCCGCTTTTAATCGCGATAAACTCTACCCCATAAGTGAACCAAATCAACATTATCTAAAGTATCTTCATCTCTATTGCGCTCATTTTCTTTATTTTTAAAACTACCTAACCTTAAAAATTTAAATTTACCATGACAAATAAGCATTATCAACAATCCTATATGAAATTCAAAAAACAAACATTATGCATTACTAAATATATACCAGATTAATCTTCCTCACTTAAAAACTTAATTATCCCTTAATCATTAAAGTTAGAAGCCATCTACATAATACCTTGCATTCTAAAAAAAAAGATTGGGAGAGATAAATTAGAACTCCCTTTCATGACTAACTTCAAGCCTTTGATAGTAAACTATGATAGCCACAACACAATTATGGTAAGCCATGTGCACTAAGCTTTCTTGTTGAAAGGCTAAAGCCACTTGGAGTTCAGTTCACTTGACATTCATGTGCATCAAATCATTTATCAATCACATCAAAAACTTAAAATAATAATAATAATAATAATAATCAATGTACTGAATAACATAATTCTTCAAGGTCATGTGGATAAATGAGATATTGTGATTTAGGGTCTGTTTGGGGCAGTTGTTGATTATTTATAAGCAGATTATTCTGATAATATGATAATCTATAGGTTATCAGAATAATCTGGCTTGCTGTTTGGGGCAGTTTATTCAGAATAGCTTATTGGTAGTACAAAATCATATAGTGCAGATGCATACTATCATCACAAATCAGTTCTAAAAGATGACATACAATTATCACACTCTGGTGAGTACCGGAAGAAATAAAAAAAAAAGAATAAAAACAAGTACAACTACAATGAGAAATATTAAAATATTTAATTTCAAACTCTGGCTACGTTTGTCCTCAGCTGCACTATTAACCTGGGAAAACATCGGATTCCCATGACTGATGGCAGTGTGATATGTGGGACTGTCAGCCCACCGGAAGAAATCACAACGAGCTGAAACACCCTTGACACAACCGTAGAACTGCCTCCCAAAGTCGTGAGATTGACGTGACGTGAGCAACAGAGCCGGTAGTCCACAATAACACAAAATAACTATGTATGTAACTGATATCCTAGAAGCCATGTTTGTATAACTGTGAAAAAAATAAAAAAAAATGAAAGTCAGAACTTATCCAAAAAATAAAATAAAATACACATAAAAATTTGATCTACATATCAGAAAAGAAAGACTTGTTGGATTAGCTGCCATATATAACATCTGCTAAAGACTCCCTCAGAGCAGTCATCTCAGCTACACCCTCCGCGTCATGAACTTCAAATTCATTAAATTCATTCTCATCCTCAGGAACTAAATGCCCGATCATGATTTCTGATGGTTCTTAATAGATAGTCAGCTCTTCGTTATCAGTCATATTAAAGTCTGAATGGCAGACAAAGTGCGAAGACAATCGAAGATAGTGCTGTCAGGGAGTGGAGCAGGCAATGGTGCTCCAAAAGCATCTATGAGTCTGTCAAATGAAATTTTCACAAAAGTATCATTTTCTTTCTTTCTTATTCCAAGCATGGGCCTCTTCATCTGTGAGCTTGATTCCCCCATCTCCCTCTGATTAACGCTTTGTATTTCTTCTTCAACTGCCACCGACTTGG